AAGCAAGTCACGAGTCACCGTGAGACTGTTGGGCCAGGTAGAATCCTCATAGATATCAGAAGTGATGAAACACAGCATAAACTCCTAGCAAAATAATAGATTGCGTTGAAGGACGGCGATGAATAGTGATTATGTCATGCAGATGCAACTACTCAGCAGTGAGTGACCCAGGCAATGAGCAGCATTACAGCCAATGCTCAGGGGCATTGGTGAACGTACATCTACGTACGGCTGATGAGAAAACGACACGAATGTGTGACGATTAAAGGAGATCTGGTAAGGAAATTTTCAGATGCATTTAATCCCACGAGCACTCCAACCGTGCAAAGCAATGATATTTCAATTGAAGGCCAATGCACAACGTTTCAGAGTCAATGCCCCGGGCATAATACTGTATGCATTGATGAGCGACTATTTTTTTTGTAGGTATTTTACTAGGCTCCCTGGTATTGACCAGACCACATTTCTGAGAGATGGAGGTGATGCCGGAGTGGCTTTTAGCATGTTGGGAAAAAATGTCGTTTTCAGCACCCCCCCCCCCCCCCCCTAGCCAAACCACGACTTTCATTTGACATGGTCCAGATCTTGTGAATTGTGGCAAATGAAAGTGCTATACTAACTTACTAAGTCTTGCTCCCGAAATGAGAATGATCTTACAATCGTGAATGGAAAGTGGATTGTGCCCAACTTTCATAGCGTTCTTAGCATTGAACATGATGTTTTATTTTAAGTTATTTCTAACCGTATTTTTAAAATGGCATAATTATCGTATTTGCAGCTACTGTAAGACATGCACATGTATATACAGTACGTATCGCCTATAAGGTTGGCGGCTATAGAGTATAGTGGTCAACTTCTCAAATTCATTTCCATTTGCCATACCTAAGTATACACAGTTACCGCGTATAGTAATAATCGTGTTGTGCCCAGTGCGGGCTTGCGACTAGTTGGTTTGGAGGTGACAGCGTTGCGAATGACCGAGGGTCCTCAACGTCTGTCTCACCGTCCAGGAGCGACACTGACTCACGCTGCTATCTGGTGTTCACGAGGTGTTTGTCGCGCTGGAAACGGAGCGTCTCTGTAAGTTTGTATCCCTGGTGATGTTTGTGCCTGGAGAGCACTATATAAGTGGTGCTCTTCAGGCACAATCTTCCTCAGCCTACTCAAGCTCAACTGATGAGGGGTGAATTCCCCGAAACACTGTGTATTGAGCAGGGAGTGGTGCTTTCTTGCAGGTTTGCCGAGTCGAAGGTTCGATTGACTTCTCGTGTGCTCTGGATGGCAGTCGTGAGTCAGTCAAGTGTCAAGTAAAGTCGGCGGAATAGCGCGAGCTCCGGTGTGTGGAGCAAACCATTTCTTACAAATCATCGCCGAAGTCGCAACCACTACTTCGTAGTAATAATCGTCTATAGTAATATATCGCCTATAGTGATCAAATTCAATTTTCAAAAGACCTCTACTACATTATTTTTGCATCGGTTGAAGTAATTGATGTGAAATCAAGTGGTGTCAGAGGCGAACAGGAAGTTTTTTTGTGAAAAGTTTGCCCAGTGTTGTTTCGGGAGTTCTACTTGTAGTATCAGGTGTCCAAAATACTTCCATTGTGAGGATATGCTGACATTGTGTGTCAGGAGCCTTGGTTGCACAGGCATTTCTCACAGTAGCAGTACACAGCATGTACGCTGCAACCAACTATGCAATGTGTATGTGTACGGTGCGCTGAGTCTTTTGACACCCCACTCACATACAGTACATGCAGTATCGGTCATAGTCATAACTATATCGCTTAGGGGTCGTCCACAAAATTTGTAATATCGATATATTTTTAGAGAAGATATTCATTCTTTTTTTTGGGGGGGGGGGGGGCCTGTTCGTCTCGTCTTTGAGAAAAATATATCGAACTCTATCTATGGACGGGCACAGTTCTAACATGTAGTTTATGACCTACACGAAGTGAAAGTCAACCTCGTGAACATAGCCATGCCCATGGCAAGGTTGCGCGACCGTGGCAACGTGGTGGCATTAGAGTTGCAGCTAGTCACGTTTCATGAGGAAATAGCACTTCATTAAAAAAATATCGATCCGCGGCTTTGCATAAATATGTGTATGTTTGTTTTGAGGGGGGAGGGAGGGGCTGGGGAGAAATGAACAAATATCGTCTTTAAAAAAATATCGATATTTACGGACGGCCCCTTATAGTGATAAAATGCTCAAAATCAAACACCAACGCTATAGGCGATACTGACTGTAGAATGAGGAAGTAAATCTAACGTTTTAACGGATGACATTTCTTCAGTCAAGTGTCAAGTCGGCGGAATAGCGCGAGCTCCAGTGTGGGAGTAAACCCATTCCTAGACATTTCTTCGTTATAATAAGATCCGTTGAGGCCGTACTGCTTCATATAATAATTATGTTGTGTGTGGATATGCCGGAATACTGCAAGATCGTTAACATTTCTTCTCGTTAACCTACGAGTTTTGGACGATTGTTAATTTGTGACTCGTTAGAATAACATGTCTTACAGTATTGCTGAATCTGGACATTCAGACACAAAACGCTGACGCTCTAAAGTTGGTACATTACAATGATGCAAATACATGGCTATGGATGAGCAACGCAATGGGAAACAGGGTACCACATATACCTCAAACTAAGATCTTGCTCCGCTATCTGTATACGGTCAGCTGTATCAGCATTACACCATAGGCTAGTAACCCTTGAAGACTAAGGACATGGGCCGACATAGCTCTCGCTAGATTGTACATGTATGTAAAAACAAAAAGTACATCAGTATTGTCGCTGTGATTGCATGCTGCCAAGGCTGTGTATTCGGATTCATTTGTAACCCCCCCCCCCCCCCCCATGTCAGAGTAGAAGCGAACAGTTTTTCGATTTTGACAGCATGTTACAAGGCGAGGACGCGTAGTGCTCCTGACTACAACCATAACCCGGTTGGCAGAGTCCCGGTCTTGCGACCATCTGAACCGTATTGGGAAAACCCAGGTTCGGACCCTCGTTACTCTACGGGTTGGTAGGATTTTTATAATTTTCGTTTTTTTTGTGTTGTAGAAGTCGTCGTGTTGCCGCCGTAGTGGGGAAGCGAACAGACAGTACAGCATAACACATCTGTCGGTGTTTCCCCTAAGTTCCCCAGGTTTATTCCCGGAGCTGACTCACTGATCTTGTCCTAAGGCCGCGTCCATCCAGCCAGCACTGTAATGCATTCACCATGCACACTGACGAGACAGGACTCTCTCTGTCCTCTGTCTCTCCCTCTCACTGTCTCTCTCTTGCCACGGCTAACAGCAGTTTCTCAAACAGCACCATCCAGAGCACATCAGTGTCCGCTCCAGAGCCGGGTCAGCGACCCGGTTGGTGGGTACTAGTACTTGGACCGGTTTGGAAAAAGAACACCGGGTCACCTGTAACCCGGTTGGGAATACAATATACATCAGGGAGCCATAAAATATTTACAACTCCCTCATCATAGGCTGATGTACATGCAGTAAGCGCACTGGAACGGACCCGCCTCTGACCCGGCTCTGACCCAGTTGCAATGGTTGTGCCAGGTACACATGTACCCGGTTGGTTTGAAATCCTAGAGCAGACACTGAACATGCACACAAGAGACATGCCACACTTTTATCATGCAGCCATCATGACCTTATAGCACAATAGCAAGAGTACATAGCTCTTGGCACTCTAGCACCCTTACAGGAGTAGAGCTTTCTGCTTTGCACGTCCCGGTACGGCTCACAATAATTACGAGTATGCTTCAGTCGGTTTGGGAGAATCATGCATGCCATGCTTTGCAGGAGCCAAAGCCAACACGGTGTTTTGTACTACCGATACTTTCTGCTGTTTCAAAAAGCATAACCACCACCGGCAGTAGACTGTAGTGGTGATGCAGATGACAATGACAGAAGCAACAAGACGGGTACGCTGAACTTGTCTCAGAATGGGAGTGACAAGCGATTACGCAAAACTGCGCAGGGACAGACTTTCACAGTCCGCAACTAATTTCATTTGAAAACCTCATCACGCAAGCATGCCAGGGAAAACACTCAGCAAGCCAAGGTCCAGTATCCTCCAGCACCATGCACACAAGTACTAGTTTCACATGCCATCACGCATAGCAAGTGAATATCAGTCCTGGTTTCACATGCCATAGCTATTTTAGCGGATGTGTACTGTAACTGGAGTTGCTACAAGACCAAGATGAGTGGTTGCTTTTGTCATTTCCGATGCAAACCTAGTGTAGAGCTTTGTTCTGATTGTCACAACTGCAGCATACCCCCCACCCCAATAAAAGAACATGCAGATACTGAAGGAAGAACCAACAAGACGGTATTCATCACCCTCTCCTTCCAACCTTGCTTGCACCTGTACGGCTTTCGATTGTGTGGGAACACACACACACACACACACACACACACACACACACACACACACACACACACACACACACAACAGCGGATGAGCAACTAGGCTAAAAGGCCGCACAAAGCAAAACCTCTCAACAGCGAATACTGAGCTGTGCTTCTTTTCTTGACAGGTTGAGATTTGAAACTTGCCAGCAGCAGCAGCAACAGCACTGACCCAGGAACTGGTGTTCTGACTTGATTTTCGTTTGCTAGTTTTCTCATTGATTGATAGACTGATTGATTGACTGATTGACTGATTGATTGACTGATTGACTGATTGATTGACTGACTGAGGCTAGTTTCAGAGAGACACAGAAGCAAAATCCACAAGACAGGGGGCAGGAAAGAAAGGAAGAAAGAGAGAGAGAGGAAGAGGAAGAATACAATGTCCTCAGTCATACCATATCATGGTTGCAAAATGCAAACACACAGCTTAACGAACACCATAAAACAGGAAGACATGCACACACACACACACGCACACACACACACACACACACACCCACACACACACACACCATCGCCATCACCACCACCACCACCACGGATACACGTACCCACATACACACGGTGACATCAGGTGCAACAAGTGATCATTCCGTTCAAGAACTTGAAACACACTATCACATAATCACATAAGAAGAGTGAGCCTTCTGGAATGTACCGTAACTGACCAAACAAAACGTAGCACTAGAAAACTTAGACACAGTCCTTAGAAACATCACCAAATACACTTACATACTTACACACCCACACACACATGCACATACACACACACACACACGCTAAACTATAGGCACTCATAGAAAGAAAAGAAGGCAGAGGCCAGAGGCGAACACAGACCTAGATTACATATACATGTACATGTAGGTAGTACAAAACCTAACTACTAGAAAGAGAGCAGCTTAAACGTAGCATACCATGTCTGTATATCTTGGAGCGGAATACTCAAAGGTTTACTGCACTCAGGCATGGACTGGACTACCTCTGCAGCTGATGCAGCTGTTATGGCATTATCAGCACCACCGCCATCTCCACTAACACTTCTTTAACTACTGCAGCTGGCACACATATACACATCACTGCCGTTGCTGGTGTGGCAGTGGTGGTACTGGCAAGAAATCATCGCACAGCAATGCCAGGAACTTTTCGATGCGGACACACTGAACATAGCGGACCAGCAGAATCTGGCCAAAACCTTAGGGGTGATATCTGCCGAGAAAATAAACATACAAACACACACGCGCGCGCACACACACACACACACACACACACACACAACGCCTATTTAAAAATTCCATTGCTTTCTTCATGAGAGTTATCAGATCACACCAGGCCAGTGATCGGGTTGCTGGTGGTGAACAGTAATTGGCCTTTTCGCGGTTTTTTTTTACTATGAGCTGATTGGCCACGGATGCGATTACCGCTCCGCCTACACTGTACAATGTACACTGAGCACTGCGGCATATACATGAGTGTAAAAACTGTCATAACTCTGTCAAGCAATAATAGATTCCTATAAATGAGACAGCGTAGAAACTAGAAAGGTCTAGAACTAAGCTTCACCGGTATATAACGTTCTTTGCGATAGGATAACGTATGACCGAACGGCGGCAAACTGAGCGACCGGAATGTGCAAATTCAACTTTCGCTGATCGATTCGAATTTTGTTGTTTGCGACTTGCGCGTTTGCTAGGGGATTTCCGTGGGACACGGTGCATGCGCAGTGCACGTCAAACACCATGCTTGAATCTCAGCTTTCAGACGCAGCTTGAATCGTAAAGTCCGTTCAGTGTGAGCAAGAAGGTTGAAAACCCCATGGTTGTTTGTTTTGCTATTTCCAGGCATGGTAGGAGGACTAGGGGAGGAAATATAAGTGGCCCAGACATGCCTATTGAGCTGCCAATCGCTCAAAAGGACTTTTCTACGAGAAAACAGACTGGAATTGAAAAGAGTTAGTGAGATGATGCTCAGCATGAAGGGAATGCTCCGTGAACATTTGGAGAACTCACACCCATGGGCTTGACGTCTTGCAGAGAGTGCCAATGACCACTCCGTATGCGGAAGTTTCCTCAAGGTCTGGGCTTACATCCAGGAGAAGCACAGCAGACCTGCGTCGCCTTTCTTTTCGCGTGTCACAGCGCAGAGAACCTGATCTTGGCACACCAGGGTTCTAGCCAAGGGGGGGGGGGGGCTGTCCCCCCCCCCCCCCCCCCCCCCCTGTGAAAACGTGCTGCCCCCTACTCATTTTCCGACTTTTGTGTTTTTTCAGGCCATGCAGTCGATAGTCAGTACTAAAGGGTTCATGAAGGCACATTTGTCTGGGGGTGAAGTCGGGGATTGCTCCGTACGTTGCATTTTGCATGGCAAAACAATTCTGGAACATGGAAAAATGGGTTTCGAGTTAACTGTGTTTCCCATGCCCCCCCCCCCCCCCCCCTACTATTTTGACCTGGCTAGAACCCTGCACACGAATCTGGACCCAAGATGCGAAGCTGCAAACTCTAACTTAGTCACATGTTCTTTACTTGGCCACTTGCCACTAAAGGCTGCTTTTCTGTGCAGCAGCAAGACAGGCAAGAGCTGGCCGGTACATCTACTTACTAGCGTGAGCGACTGCGACGGCGGCGATGGCGATCCTCCGACGGTGATCTCCTACGACGATTGAATCTGGGCGAATCGGGACTGCGGCTACGGCGATACGACGGAGATCGACGCCGGCGGTACGGAGAAGGGGACCTTCTGCTACAAACAAAGACACATACACACACACACACACATACACACACAAAGAACAAAGGAATTAATATCTGCCAGATCCCCCCCCCCCCCTCCCCCTACTACTTCAGCTGAAAAGGATGTCACTCCTACAGGAATGGGTATTATAACCCCCGTTATTATGATACTCAGGGAAGGTCCAACTCTCCAAGGGTCCTGCAGCTCAGAATCTCCTCTCTGTTTGGAAGAAGGGTCAGCGAACGTGCTTGGCGAGATGACTACTTGGCTGATCTTCGCAGCAGTCATACTCGGAAGCTCCGGCAGGCACGCGTTACCGCTTCAGAATAGCCAGCCATTGACGGTGTCGTACTGAATCTGATAAAGGATGGCATGCCCCGTGGACCACGGCGACTTGGTCGCATAGTCACTCTCCATAAGAGCAAGGATATGGAGATACGGGCGGCAACCGTAGTCACTTCAGACAAGACAGAACTCAAGCGACCTCTGTATCTCTTGTACTACATCTGTCCTGCTGCTGCTGACTCTAACGACAGCAGCACCGCTCCGGCACTTCCTCAGGCACACACACACACACACAACTGACCATACCGATTTGCCAGTCTCAGCAGCTGTTGCTCCATGCAGACGTCCACAATGTGCTGTCGCTAAGGGCACGTTCAGACTGGCATAAAAAGTGTCGCAAAAGAAGGATCCACGAGCGGGATTCGAACCCAGCACTCCTGTCTTTCCGGGACAGTGCCCTACCGATTAGGCTACCGGGGATCACACACACTCATGGGTCCTTCTTGCTACACTGCTCCCCCGCCCCAACAGGCTGTGTCCTCACGCCGTACCTACTCGCGGGGGGGGGGGTACGATGGGTCGTGGGTTCGAGCCATTGCCAGGCGCCAATGTTGCAAAAGAAGGATCCAGCTTTAGATATACCCGGAAGGCTGCACTTGCGCAGTGTGGTTCTCTCAGTCTCTTTCTATTATCCCAGTCCTTGCCTTACTCTCCAGTCTCTTTGTAGTTCTCTAGTCTCTTTGTGCTTCTCTGAGTCCTCTTTCTGCTTCAGTCCAGTCCAGAACATTTGTGATATAAATTATAACCATTATAACAGGCTATAATTCCGTGTTCTCAGACAGTATAAACTGAGTAGTATAAACTGAGTAGTATAAACTGAGTAGTATAAAGTATAGTTGTATCAAGAGTACATAACCCCCCAGAGTGTGCAACGCCTGATCTAGCTCTGCATAGGGTCTTGGTCGAGCGGAATCGGATCTTTGCGTCATAATACTGTACACATCTGAGGGGAACCCGGGGAGTCGCGGGTGCTCTTGGATCAAAAACAATGGTATCCTGCCTCGAGACCGGCCTTGCGCTGGTGTGGAGTGTACGCATGACATCAGAAGATCCGATTCCGCTCGACCAAGACCCTATGCAGAGCTGGATCGGCGTTGCACACTCTGGGGGGTTATGTACTCTTGGTTGTATACATAGTACAGTAGTCCCAATCCCTTATTTAGACAACAAAAGCAAGCGGAATGTGAAAGTTGTCAAGGTGAATCGCTCACGTGACGTTCCCGCCAGCGTAACCACGGAAAAGGTTTCTCACCACTGTGCAGACCGGTGGAATGCAGATTCCGGCGGCACGCGGGAGCACTTTTGATATCCTTGCACCGCATGTTCCGTCTTTTCTTTCTAATTCAGCCTCTACTCTTTCAGTCTGACTGCATGCTTTTGAGTTTTGAGTTTTGACTACTAGACTGCCAACTTCTTCCATCATGCCGAAATCTTTGTTCGACTCTGCAATGGAGAGGGAGCTCATGGAGCTGTTCGTGGTGATTTTTGCGGGCTCTGCAGGCAAAACGTTGACTGCGACCGAGAAGCATACTCTGATCACTGAGCAGATGAATGCCACCCAAGCACCAAACACTCCGGACATCGTATTCTTTCCGTCGACAAGCACAAGCAAAAACACAATGATCCAGTATCTCAACAGACTGAATTACCTAGTGTATTTTGATGTCCAACTCAAACTGAGTGAAATCAAATTTTTCCAATGTCGATTGATTATGTAAAAAGCTTGTCAAAGCTTGTAAAAGTATGACATGTACTCGCCATTCCAGCGGGATACACGTGCAGTGTGATTGCGATTCCCAGGATTACGCTGCAGCATTCTGGCTACCTAGAACTAGTTGCACATAGAGCCAGCTACCTGTCGAACTAGTTGCACATAGAGTCAGCTACCTGTCGAACTAGTTGCACATAGAGCCAGCTACCTGTCGAACTAGTTGCACATAGAGTCAGCTACCTTGAACTAGTTGAGCATAGAGCCAGCTACCTGTCGAACTAGTTGCACATAGAGTCAGCTACCCGTAGAACCAAGAGTACATAAACCAGAGTGTGCAACTGTGCATATCAGATCTGAAACAGCCCAGTTTGTGCACTACATCACCCTGATGAGGTCAGCCAAGCTGCGACTTGCGTACAGCTCAAATTTTCGTGTTTCACAGTCCGGAAATCAACCAAGCTTGCATGATTTAGACGTCCTGTTTTAGGATTTCGGTGTTCTTGTGTGACTTAGTACGCTGTGTACATGCGCTGGCAAGTAAATTCACCATGCTATCCGTGTCAAAAAACCGAAATCAGGACAAACTCAGTGACCTGCACCACCATGACTGGTTACGCAACTTTTCACCGTACCTGTGGCTTACCACGCCGTCAGAAATGATGTACTGCACGAATTACGCTCCCACAGGAACCATCCCGAGTTGCACACTCTGGTTTATGTACTCTTGGTAGAACTAGTTGCACATAGAGTCAGCTGCCTAGAACTACTGTAAAAGCCATTATTCTAACGAGTCCCACATATAACGATTTCCTAAAACTGACCGACTTACGTGTACGAAAGGTACCGATTCTCACTCACTATCAATACTCGCTACCAACAGTACAAGTATCAATTTCTGTATAAAGATTTCTATTTTAACGAAGCATTTCTTCCCGTTAACTTGTTAGATTTAGCACATTGTTATACATACTGTAAACCGGGAATTTTCGGTGGTGTAATAATTTCCGTATTTCCAGAAATCAACGGTTCAGTAGCGCGAAAATTTCGGTAAACCAGTTTTCCAGATCCAAAATGCATTTTGCACACTGTGGCATGGCATGGCTGAATTTTAGGTCGCGCTTTATTTTAGGTAAAGCATGCATGTACCGAAGTTACCGAAAACAAATCTCCACCGAAATTTTCCGGTTTTACAGCACGGCCTTTACAGTAATTGAGAATAACTCACCGTCGTCGCCCTGCGGGCTCTCCCATGTAAACACCGGGAGTGGGAGTGTGAGGACGCTTGGTGATAGAGAAATCTACTCGAATACACCGACCATCAAAGTCCATTCCGTTAGTTCGCTCCTTGGCCTGCAGAATTGACAAGAACAAGAGCAACAAGCAGCAATATGAGCCAGCGCACGCGAAAATCGACCTTAGTGACACGCACTTCAAACTGAGAAAACGCACTTCAAACATTCTCTGTTTTCGTGTGATGTGCGATATATCAGGGAAAATGTTCTATCTTCTAAGACCCCGTAACTTAAGTTTTACTCAAGATTTTTTCAAACGTTTTTTGCATTGAATTCTGCATAAATCCATCTGCCTTTATCCACTGTCATCTCAGTTTCTGAAAATAAGTCACTAAGGGTGATTTTCGCGTGTGCTGGCTCATATACACTATAGTGACTCTACACAGAGCATAGCTAATTGTTGAGAAAAGAAGAGTATTGTGCCATTGCAACAGGTAAAGCAGGGAACCGGGCAGCATCATTGACTGAATTCTTGTTCACTAGTTTCGTAGCTGACAACCATGTCAAACAGGGCAGATTTGCGGAGAAGAGGCGGGGGTGGGGGGGTGGGGGGGTGATCTGATATCTCTTGTCGGCAACGCTGCTGGCAAGCATTCAATTCAATAAGTTTGTCTGGCTGGGCCAAGGCCAGGTCATTATCATGACACATTGTAGCAGGCAGCAGAGTCGGTTCACAGCAGCAGGCAGCAGGCAACAGAGTCGTTTCACAGCAGCAGCAGCAACAGCAGCAGCAGCAGCAGCAGCAAAGTCGGTATCAAGATGCAGGCAACAAATCCTACCTTAGCGGCATCCTCTTCCCTATCGAAGTAGACAAAGCCAAATCCTCGGGAGCGATTGGTCTATACAAAGAGCAAGAAGTAAGAACGCACAATCATGAAAAGCTGCACAGCTCAGCGTACACGTTATCCTTGGAAAGAGAGGCTTAACCCCAGGAGAGGTCAATTATTGCTAATAGGCAATTCACACGACAGGCAAATCCACGTTTGTCAGGTGCACACAGGAAGTGAAACGTGAGTCTGCAGTTCACATGGCCGCGAGTGGCGGCCAGAGCTCCCGCGAGTATTCGGTGAGTATACAGAGTCACTGTGGTGATGCCGTAGTGATTTGGAATAAGTACCCAAAGGCAAAGGGCCAAACAACCAGGGTTCAAGACTACCGTACGATAGTATGACCTCACAGCCTCATAACTGTAAACATGGTAAAAGTGCCCGCAGATGAGTGCATCCGCGGGCAAAAAGCTCATGGACACTTTCGATTCCTGTGGACAAGTTTTGGTTGCGCGCAGATCCATGGTGATTTTCCTGTAAACGTGGATTAACCTGTTGTTGTGTGAATCGCCTATAACGGGTGTGACTGAGCTGTGGGTATAACTAAGCTCAGCACAAACGAAAGCAGCGGTGGGAGTCGACTACGCACTGCTGTACACTGTACTACTATCGGTTATATACTTTCAGGTTGCATTTGGTTGGGTATTTTCAGAATGTAAATGACAACTATTCTGGATTGTGAATTGGTAAGAATCACCTGACCAAACAAACGCGCCAGAATCAACTAGGAATCACTTGACATAACAATTCCATGATGTCGTTGTGGAACGGCGGCTCTCTTCTCTTTTACCCGACTCTAGTTTCCTTGAGAGAGTTGAGGTATTTTTGAGTGCATGATTTGAGGCACTTAAACCTGTTGCTACATTGTTTGGCTCATGGCAACCATTATCATTTTTGATTCCGGAATGAAAATGCTCATTCCAGCATGTGAGGTGGAAAGATCATTCTCCAAAAAGAATCATTCTCAGCGATTCCCATTCTGGAATGGGACCAACCTAACGGAATTATTTGACCAAACAAACGGGCAAGAATGATAAGTGATTCCCATTGTGGAATGTGACCAACCAAACGCAACCTCAAAGAATGTATAGGTAAGTCCGTCACCAACTGAACTGGCCAATCATGGTCCTTGACCGTAGGTGATCTCTAAAGCCAAGGTAACTCTGGCATGTTCCACATACTTGCTGCCAAAGAACGGCAATCTCTCACCAGATTTCATCTGTATGATATAAGCACCAGTAAAACAGACAGGTTCCAGGCTGTTCAAAAGAGGGCTCAATGCCGAAGAAGAGAGCTACTAACAAAAAGAAGAGACGATGAATAATTCAGCGTCAACAACGAATTATCCATCCTCTTCTTCTTGTGATAAAAGTACCTTTAAACGATGAAGAGCACAAACTTACATGTCGGTCGTAGATCAACTGTACATCTGTGATGTGTCCATACTTGCCAAACTTATCTGCCAGATCTCTCTCAGAGGTCATGAAGCTCAAACCAAACACACCCAGGCATCGGCACCGTTCAGGATTGTACTGCGAGCATAAACAGACACGCGCACACATACACCAGTTGACACTGCAGCAGAAGTCACAGCAAATTGTGCTGGGATTACACCATTCAACAGCTTGCAAGTTTGAAGAATTGACCGCCACTATTCAGCCTGATCTACACCACACAGTCATGAGGTGCTTTTTCTGGCCAGTGAATCCCTAATTTTGGTCTTTTCCATTTTTTCCCCACACACATCACACCACATACTCCGGCAAGCACTGGCTGTTGGTAACCACCCAGGAGAATGAAAGAAAAGTCAGGAGGAGTCTGAGAAAGAAGCACACACAAACACACACACAATATAATAAACTGGCTTCAGTTAGCACTTAGCAGGCAAGGACAGTGCACCCTAGAAGTATGGTACATCACACAATCAAACTTACTCTGTCACCACGGCCACGATACGGAGCGCGGTCAGCTGAACGAGACCTGCGCCTAGCATCAACAAGCACAACAGAGACACAGGCAGCAAGACAAACATACATAAGCAAGCACAGCACACACAACACACACACACACACACACACGTGCAGCCAATCGACATTTTCTCTAGGCACAGTACTATGTGAAACCAACACAATCATGCATATACATAGTGGAGGCTCTTTGCAGGAGAACAAGTGAGTTCTGAGACGAGTGAGCACTCATATCTGTATACATGTACATGTACATGCATATATTACTAGCAGGAGAACATTCGTAAAAGTACTCGTGTTTAAATACACAAATTACTTCGGAGTAGGATAAGTCACTTTTTCAGATCAAAGATACGTAAATGCCGGACTGGTTGCTACGGTCGTGATATGCTGAGATTAGAGAGGTTCAGTCTCACATGAGATCTAGAGAAAACATGAGTGGTACAAACGCGGCTGGATGCACACATGTACACATACAATGATATAAAATAAACTGGTCCAGGGTGCCAGTTTTGCACTTTGGGTCAGATTTCACCGAGCGCAACAGTATAATAGGGCCGGAGTTCAGTCAGTTAAAAAATGCACGGAAACTAAAAGTTACTGTGTACATGTGCAAGTTGTGAATAGAACTTGACTGGTTAAAGTTAGTTCAGAAAGTGGTGGACATCATGCAACTGCATTGTAAATAAAAGGGTGTCAACTGGCAACCGCTCTATTTAGTTGCTATTCAGACGATGGGTGACTGGCCCGAAACGTCAATAATTTTTTCGACATCTTTAATAAAAGAATTTTCATCTAAAGAGTGAATAACAACTAAATAGAGCGGTTGCCAGTTGACAAACCCCCCTTTTATTGGTTAAAGTTAACTGAACATTTCATCAAGCTCATTTTTGAACGAAAGTTCGTACTACATTTTGCAGAGCACATACGTTCTGTAGCGAGGCGATGGGGACCGGCTGTGGCTGCGATAGGAGCGCCTGGGCAAAACAATAACGTAAATGCAACACACACACACACACACACACACACACACACACACACACACAAACACACACACACACAAATACAGACAAACACAAACACACACAAGTCGAGGTACATGTGCAGTGCTATCTATCAAACTTTCTCACCACCACAATGTCGTGATTCTAGTTGACAGAATAACCAGCAGAATTAAACTGAGTACAATAAAATAAATCGCAAGAAAGACTGTAAACTTGAAGCCTTTTACCCAAGCATTATCTGATATGGGTCCACAACAGGCCATGTGATAAGAAATCATGGACGTTCTGACACAATGTCCTGACATTTCCTCAATGGGTCGGACATGCCCAGACATACCCGCTACCAAGAGTACATAAACCAGAGTGTGCAACTCGGGATGGTTCCTGTGGGAGCGCAATTCGTACAGTAAGTCATTTCTGACGGCATGGTAAGCCACAGGTACGGTGAAAAGTTGTGTAACCAGTCATGGTGGTGCAGGTCACTGAGTTTGTCCTGATTTCGGTTTTTTTACATGGATACCCTGGTGAATTTACTTGCCAGCGCATGTACACAGCGTACGAAGTCACACAAAAACACCGAAATCCTAAAACAGGACGTCTAAATCATGCAAGCTTGGCTGATTTCCGGACTGTGAAACACGAAAATTTGAGCTGTACGCAAGTCGCAGCTTGGCTGACCCCATCATGGTGACGTAGTGCACGGACTGCGCTGTTTCAGATCTGATATGCACAGTTGCACACTCTGGTTTATATACTCTTGCCGCTACTTATGTCTTTGAAAGCCGACTTTTTCAAATTTCTCGACCTAACGATGAAGGACTCCGAGAAATTGTTGGACGAAGAAATTTTCTCGGCGAACCGCACACAAACCTTGTATCTAAGCACTCCACCTTTGCGCGATCGTCTTTGCATCTCTCACACTCCAACCAAATGGACGTTGAAAGGTCCTTGTCATGCTCAGTAGTCCACTTGTCACAAGGGGCCACCTTTTTCTCTTCCCTAACTAAACTCGCCATTTCTGATTGCAGCACAAGCGCCTAAACTCGCCATTTCTGATTGCAGCACAAGCGCGTCCACACAGCTGTACAGGCAGTCGTTTTTATGAGTATTTTTCGTCTCGAATCGATCGGACACTTTTTCCATCGCACGGACATTTCGCCCGGACAACGACTGAAAACGGTCGGGAAATGTCCGGTGTCCAACGGTTATTTCACGGACTGCACAAAATATAACCTTCGGATAGCCCGAAATTGGAGAGCTGAGGTGTTACAACAATCAGAGTTTAGAATCGCTGAGGTTTGAGTGAGTGTACTTACGATCTACTACGGCGTCTTGGAGAGCGAGAGTTTGATCGCGAGCGGCGGCGAGAGGAGCTGATTGGGCTGCGCGATCGGCGAGGTGATCTTGAACGACTACACATAACAACACATCAACAATTCACACATCTAGCCATTAGCACAGATCACATCGTAATAACATTTTTAAATATACATGTACATCAACAGTTCACACATCTAGCCATTAGCACAGATCACATCGTAATGAACAGAGTGTAGGAGTCCACAACTTTAAGAAAGAAAGAAACACTTTGAACATCTGAACATTTGAACGTTACATAAGGGGCCATCCGACATTATTGATAATTTTCACGGAACGAAGAAGTTTAGTTACAACCTCTCTCCTCTCCCCCCCCCCCCCCCCCGAAAGTAAAATAATAATATCAATATTATTGACTTGACAGCGAAAATGGACCGATGTAAGTATGCACAACCCTGGCATGTGCACAACCCGGGCGTGTGCACAACCCTGGCGTGTGCACAACCCGGGCGTGTGCATGCATACAGAGAACGTAACAACATTCACTCTCTTCCAGTAACCACTTTCTGCATGCACCCATTTGCTTTCATCATTCACACAATATAGTATCTCGCTCTCCATTCTTCCCCGGCTTGCAGCGCTGGGCCAGCGCATCCTATCGTTAGGTACTCATTCTCAAACGATCTCTCTCTCTCTCTCTCCATTTCACAATGTAGTCGTTTAGTTCGTCTTTCTCTCTGTCTCTCCATCTATAATAAATGTCTTCCCACTACTAGGATCTCCTGTTCCAAGTTGTTCCTTTGTGTCTGGGATGATGACTCTTCTGTGACTTTACACTATGGGGGCTAGTGTAGGCTCACTGTGGTCCTCTCGTCAACACCTTTCCAGGATGCCCCAAATCGTAGAAATTGTGTAATGTAAACCAAAGGTACATCGAAATCAAGGCACAGAGGCACTGCACCTTAGCCCTTTATTGGCCGATTAAAATACAAACAAGCCCACGCAATCGCCAAACATGTACCTAAATTGGACGTAACTTTAGTTTGCACTGGACAAATTCCACGATCTTGGGCATCCTGGACAGGCCTTGACGAGAGGAGCGCAATGAGCCTACACTCGACTCCACGGGATGCACTGGCCCAGCGCTGCAAGCCAGGGAAGGCCCACCAGCGCTGGGCTCACGCTCGAGATCTATCTCTATCCACCATTTCACTCCTGTTGCTCGTATCAAACTCAAAATTTTCGTAGAGACTCCCGGGAACCTGCTTTTGAAGTTGAATCGGTGTAGCCTTGTCAACAGGTGACGCAAGCAGGGAAAATCCCGGCCGTTGACCCACGCATCGCGCTCCGAGCACAAATTTCCCGGGACCAATATTACGAGTGCTATAACTCACGAACCGCTCTTTGTATCGCTTTGAAAATTGTTCGAGGCGACAGCTGAGCGTTTTCTCTTCGACCTACATATTTTGATCTCTCCGAAAGACCGGGATTTGACCAAGTTACGATAATTTCAAAATGCCCACTCCATCGAACATCGGTGTTCGATCAATGTATGGGCCGGCCAATAAAGGGTTAACCTACTAGAGTGCTGCCCAATGCTCAATGCACAGATTTGGTGGTTGTATGGGTTTTGGATACATTATATTCAGACGATGAATGGTTAATGCTGTTAACGATCATGTTAGGGGTCGTCGCAAAAGTATTTGGTCGTCTCTGAAACGAACATCGTTCATTTCGTACTCGGACCCTCCCCTCTCTCTGAAACCAACACAGCTTGCTATGCTGGACGACGAAAATCGCATGCATGTACAAGTACATATGTACAGTGTCGGTCGACTTGCGATTTTGGCTCGCACCCCCCCCCCCCCCCCAAACGAATGATGTTCGTTTTGGGGCGACAAAAAACTTTTGTGACAACCCCTTATCTCACACCTGGGGACAAGTCTTTGTTTTCGCCTATGGTATCGGACTCCTCTTTTGCGTTCTGCTATATACATGTACTCTATGTTGTATATACATGTACTCTATGTTAGCTACTGAATCGCTTTCAGTGACAACTTATCCATACATTCGTTGTGGAAATATTGTACTACATGTAGTACATGTAGTACATGTACTACATGTACTTGAATCCGAAACTGCTGCGATGTAATGCGTCATGATGACCACAATCATTACTGATTTCACCAAGAAAGCTGTGGACATCATGCAACTGCATTATGAAGAAAAAAGGGAGTTTGTCAATTGACAACTGAAATTATTATTGACGTTTCGCGCCAATCACCCATTGTCACAACCGTTCTGACGATGGGTGACAGGCCCGAAACGTCAATAATATTTCCAACATCACAATATTCACTGGTTTGAGGGAAAGATGCAAACGGGAAAAGTCTGAAGAAAAAATTGACTGTCACCGCCAGGACTCGAACCGGGGACCCTCGCTTACAATAAAGAATTTTTAATGCAGTGCATGCGCAGATTGTGAATAGCAACTAAATAGAGCAGTTGTCAGTTGACAAACCCCCTGTTTTCTTCATTACTGATTTCAATCATACAAGTTGTACCTTCACATCGACTTTGGATTTAGATTCACTCCATTCAGTATTGAACTGTGCATGCGCTGGTCTGCATAGTAGTGTATGCACGTGAAGAATTCCAATCTACACTCGTGGCCAAAGAAATCCGACTCCCAAGACAGATGCGGCGTCGCATTTTCATTTCAATTACATCATGCACGATTCAAAAACCCATCCGAGGGCCGCTTGTGCCTGGGCGCTGGTTTCGGCTCACGCGCCGGATTTCTTTGGCCACGATTGTACATCGATATGCTGATGTACTAGCTGTAGGTCAGTGAGCATGTTGTCTGGTTGGCTACACTCGCAGTGGCCACATGCCATAATACTGTAGAATCCCGCGAATAAGCCCATGCTCGCGCATAAGCCCAGGCCAAGTTCGAACATCGCGAAGCTTCGTTGCAAAAGCCCATGGGCTTAGGTCGTACCATGTATATAGTACATGTACTTTTTTCCATTTCAATACAATCATCGGTTGATTTTGTTAGCACCGTGATTTTCAGCAATGTACTTCTCACTTTCTTTTCAATTTTGGTGTCGGCGTATAAGCCCGTGTCCGCATACAGTCAAACCTCTTTAGGACGAACACCAAGGGACGGATGATATTTGTTCGCAATAACGGGAGTTCTTCTTATCCGTATGTTATACCCAGTGAATACACAGTGATTTATCCAATGGAGTTACGAATACTAGTTCTTCTTAAGCAAACATTTGTCTTATCAGTGTTCATCCTAACGAGGTTTCACTGTATAAGCCCATGTTGTTGTATTAGACCACCGAAATGTCCTTGTGGAACAGATAAGCCCGGTGGCCTATCTGCGGGATTCTACGGTATCAGTTCACTAGAAAGGTGCAATTGCGCTTTATTGGAACTTGTTTTTAAACTAGAGCCTCATTCGTGTAAATTACACTATTCACTCAACATCTACGTTGACTTATGTGCCGTCAAGGAGCAAAACAGCTGTCTAGAGGTTCCTCGATATCAATTTCAACGCAATTGTCCTCGCTATGGTAGTAATGTACAAGTGGAAAGGTTCGGCCCAGAGCGCAGGGTGGAGTGGTCGATCGAGCTACCTTTGAAAATAAAAATCTTGATATAAATTGCATACGGGTACATGTAGTTGTCAAAAGGAAAATGCAGAAAGTCAGCTAACCTGCGCTCAGGTGATCCATGATCGTCATGCGATGAGTGTCTACGACTTCGTTCACGACGGTCGTCACTACCGGAGCGAATGCTATCTTTCGATGCAGAAGCATCCACATACGGCCTAGGACTGGGGGACCTGTCTGCCATAGTTCTCGTGTGGGAGCAAGACAACGAGTTACGTAAAGCAACGCGTATCAAACACGTTTATTTGTGACCTACTGTTAACAAATTACTTTCTGGCGTCAGACCTGGAGAGCAATCTTCCAAACAAGAGTCAAGAGCTCTTGTCAGATGAACAGTAGTGGATCCAGCTCGTTTTTCACTTTGGGTAGTTTGCTTTTCCCGCAAGGAAACAAAAAAATGTACAAAACAATCATGTAAAAATTTCGGCGATTTTCGCCAGTTTCGGCCAGGCTCGCAAAAATATTCGACCTTTCTCAGCTGTGCCCGGCGTCCGCGCCCGGCCCCGGGAACAGGAACCCCGGGCATCTCGACTAGTGACGAACAAGATCACGTGGGGCATTCGACTGGATCACGATAGCCAATCCACGTTCGACAAGTAAGAATCGCTGTACGCATGCAGGCTCACACGTCGTCAGGATCAAGAGATCGCCTGCTTTGGGACCGATTGATTCACATCCAAGTTTGACCTTCATCATGGCTGTTTGGAAATTGTTGACAGTGCTTCTGTTGGCAGGGTTCGCCCTTGCCGAGGAGAGTGATGTCCTTGATTTGACCGACGACACATTCGACTCTGCGTTGAAAGACACGGATTTGGCACTTGTTGAGTTTTTCGCACCATGGTGAGTTTGAGGTTTAACTGCAAGTCGTACCAAGCTCTCGTTCATCTAACCAAAAATGGTAATCATCATGGGTTTTGGCACAGGTGTGGTCACTGTAAGAGATTGGCACCTGAATACGAGAGAGCTGCCACCAGACTGAAGGCTAACGACCCCCCAGTAACACTCATCAAGGTACAGTCTACACTGTTATGTTGAGAATGGCATCACTGCAGAGTCACTCTGAGGGAGACCTTATTCTCTCAGATAAAGTGTCAAAATGCATTAAATTTAAAATTCTCCAAGAATCATTAGCACGGAAGAATATTTAATTAAGGCATCATGATTATGGACACCATTCATTGTGAATAATAGTGTTGTTTCTTGTCGTGCACTTCTTGCGAATACTAATCTCACTATAAGGGAAGTACCGGCAACCTGCACACACGGTGTCACTGCATTGGCCTTCTTCACTGGTGACATGTTCTCATCGTAGAGAGAGGACAGTGCATGCACACACACACACTCATCACACTCGGCAACCAAAAATAGAGGTGCGCGGGTTATTCCCAGACATTTTGGGAACTTTAGGGGAATTCTATGGATATTTGGCCAAATCCATTGACCTTCAGAAGAATTTTGGGGAGTTCTGTCAATTTTGACCTGCCAGAGAGCGAGCACGTGTCCATGGACGTACGTACATGTGTAGATCTGTAGATCCTGCATGCAGCAATAGTGCAAATCAGTGATCACGTGCCTGGCTGCCATCTTTTTTACTAAAGTGCATGTGCAAGGCACACTTCGTGCTGGTTTTGTTGGATGGAGTAGGAGAATTCTTGAGAATTTTTCGAGGTTTTTGGAGAATACTTTCGAATTTCCGCGAGAAATGCCAAAAAAACATAATATCGGGTGCGTGCGGGCATAATCTGCGTCCGCCTACCCAGAATGAGTGCCCTTGCAACATAAACATAATTGTTAGTTGAACCCAAAGCAGGGTTTAGTACAACCCTGTATCTACCATGTACAGAGTGCAAATAATGTGTATGGGTTTGTCACGTGATGTAAATTCTAACGTCGCAGACCCCATAGCTGGAGTTCCACACTCTTGCTTATACTGAAAAGCGGGAAACATTTGGGTTGGTTTTGGTTTGATATTTGCGAGCCGGGGCCAATTTCCTTATGGAAAATCGTGGAAATGTTTGCGATTGGAGTCCTTATTTTTATTTTTACTAAAATTCTACGCCTCTCACCGGCTTTCTTTTGCTTTTTCACACCCATCGCGGTCGTTTCCAGATCGCAAAGGTTCCCGGGTTTAAATGTCCCTGAAAAATTGAACTATGCTGACACTTTTCTGCAATACACCTTGGTGTATGAAGTGGCTCGGTTATAGTTGTGACACCTAGTGGCACAAGCGAAACTAACTTCCTTGAAGCTGGTTCTGTTTCTCAACACAAGTGTATGGCTGGTGGTAAAGCGGATGTGTGAACTTTACTTCATCTAGTGGTGGAGTGAGAAGATATTAGTGACACAAGTGATAAAAACTCCATTCACCGCATCCATTTCATCATGTGACAGATCCTCGAAGTAAATAAATATGCAGCACGTGGAACATAAGGCTTGCGAGGAACACTCGACCACGGTCAAGAACATACTGGTACTACTTAGGGGTCATCGCAATAGTCGTTGTCGTCCCTGAAACGAACATCATTCATTTCGGGGGGGGGGGGGGGTGCGAGCCAAATTGCAAGTAGACCGACATGGTACGTATACCGTAAAATGCCGCCAGAGCGCCCCCACCTCCGCCACCCTTCCAGTAGGCCCAGGTGGGGAGGGGCGGATCGGCGAGTCCTACTTGCCGCATTCGGTACTACATGAAGAAGTACTCGCCTACGAAGGCTATGTATGCGTCTCGTACGCCGACCAAAGGTCAAGAGCAGGGAGGCGTACAGACCCATCAAAACCCATGGTTTGTGCGATCCCTGGTCAAGAGGGTGTGGACTGTTGCGTACATTTCCAACCGGGTCGAGCACGTGTCTGCAGAGGGGCACGGCATCACACTTTACAAAGTCATACGAGGATTCTCACTTCCTTGACAAGAAGTCAGGGATGGGCACATGGGAGATTTGGCGGGCTTTTACGGTACATGTACACGCACGAGCTATCAGCAAAATTTCTTTGTGCATGTATGTTTGTTTTGTCATCAGGTCGACTGTATTGAAAACACCAAAGTCTGCGGCAAACATGGTGTCAATGGTTACCCAACTCTGAAGATTGCCCGCAATGGCAAGATCGCCGGAGACTACAGCGGTCCCCGGGAAGAGAGTAAGTGTTGTGTGACCCTGTTCTGAAGCCCATGCGCTCAGTGTAGCCATTGTAGTAAGTGTGGATAACTACTAACTGTTGTCATCTACTTCACAAGAAATGTAATTCCTGGCACCAGTTCTAGTATGCTAGTTGCAGCACATGTAGCCTCGTCGCCAATTCTGTCTAAATGTGGTATTTATAATGCCATAATTAATATCTCCATTTCCGTATAAATTCTGGTTATATTTTCGTTTTCAAGCCATCCTAACCCTCAGCTTCTATTGCAGACGTCATATTCAAGCCGTATTTTGTCACATTGTGCGCGTTCCCTGATACCTAGCCCAGGCTTATGCTAGAGACTGCACTAGCATGTATGTCATGTGCCCCTTTCATGACTCAAGTGTCTTCTTTCATCGTCGTTGTTGTGATCTTTTTTTTGTAGATGGCATTGTCAGTTATATGCAGAAGCAAGTTGGACCCAGCTCAGTTGGTGAGTTTTGAGTTACGTACAAAGTAGGTTTGAGTCGGTTTCTTTGCTGTTCAGGGGCCCTAACACTCTTGGTCTGTCTTGTTTCCCTTATAATAGCCGCTGAAAAACAATTGTCTTGTGGCTACACAAGTTAGCGATGGTTGTAAGCTTAGCTGGGTTGTTACTCGCAGCAAATTGGCCAGTCATTAGACAACCCGTGTAGCTTTATTGCTGCCAAGATCATTTTTGTTTGGCTAACTGCCACTAATGGACAACCAGAGTTTCACCTGCCACATTGATGTTAGCGTGGCACCAGGTCCAAACTTCATTCAACTCCTGTGACAACCCGGAGTACACACCACAGATACGCACCTTGATCTGGTGGACCTTTTCTGATTCGGGGAGGGGGGGGGGGGGGGGGGGCACTAACCAGTTTTTTCTAGGCTCAGAGGCAGGTATAGTGTGCATTGCTCTACCAGAAAACTCCAAGTATTCTTCAAGCACTTCCCTTAGGTGTATGCACCATTTTATGTATGGTCCAAACGACCAGTATTAATTACAGAGCATATCTGGACTGTTATGTTACTGTGTAGAGCTGAAGGACCAGGCTGCTTTCGACAAATTCACCAAGAATGCCGAGGCATCTGTTGTTGGCTTCTTTGCTCGTGACGATGACTTGAAATCCAAATTCTTGGCCGTTGCCGACACTCTTCGCGAGAGCTTCCGCTTTGCTCACACTAACGACAAGGACCTGCTGAACACTCGCGGCAGAAGGTAGGGTTCGTAGCTCTTCCTTGCCAGCTACTGTCACGGTTGTTTTTAGAGACGCTTGGAGAGTGTGCGTTGTACTTTCCGGTGTGTGTGTGTGTATGTGTGGATTGGTTATACATACTATGGCTAGTTAATAGTAGTTATCCTGAACTTCTACTTCGCTGCTGGCTTCTTGGTTTGTTTTTGTTTTTTCGTGTGCAGCGAGGTTGTCATCTTCTTGCCACCCAAGCTTCACTCTAAGTTGGAGGAGTCCTCAATCACTTTCAAGGGAAAGCCATCTGGTCTGGAGTCGTTCATCAAGGAGAACTTCAATGGCCTTGTTGGCATCTACAACTCCGACACTCAGGCATTCTTCACCCGCCGTCCTCTCATCGTTGCTTACTTTGACTTGGACTACGTCAAGAACCCTAAGGGTAAGATAGCTAGCCTAGTTGCCAGTACTAGGAAGAATGCCCAGATATTCCAGTTTTAGATGGATTTTTGAAGGAAAGACCATACGAACGAAAGTGAAGTCAGCACTCAAAGTTGGAATCTTGACCTGCACCCAAGCATAAGACGCACATGATCAATGGAAGCGCATGCGTTGGGTAGCTTTATTAGTGGCAGCAAGAGTCCATAAACAAGAGTATGCAACTGTGATCTCTTTTCTATGGGCCAGATGCGCGGCGCGCTGCCTTCATTACATCATTGGCACAGTTGAGACTTGTTTGTTGGCCCTGTGAACACTTGTCCCAGCTCGGCTATTTAGTCATGTAGCTTACTGCTTTCCCGTATATGGTATGGATTGTCATTTTACTTCATCCAAAGATCCAATGCATATATCACCTACATATTGTATGCTTGTTGAGACGGTATAGTGTAGTAATCAATGAGTCATGGTTCATTGTTCCTTCCCCTCATCGTTTCTAGAACCTATTTACCTCACTGGCATAGCCATCAGACACAGGGCAATAAGTGTTATTTTTGTCCAACCTTTTCTTATAGGATCCAACTACTGGCGCAACCGTGTCTTGAAGGTTGCCAAGGATTTCAAGAACCAGGCTTACTTTGCTGTTGCATCCAAGGCTGAGCAGCGTGCTGCCCTGGAAGAGGTTGGCCTCGGCTCAGCCACTGGTGATGTTCTTGTTGCTGCCCGTGGTGAGAAGGAGGAGAAGTTCCCCATGTCCGGCAAGTTCAGGTTAGTGTTCTTGTCATCCTACATTCATCTAGTCAGTTTGCTTTGGGGTTTTGTAAACACATCAATGTACTCATTGGTGGTCTGTACTGGCTTGTATCATGATTTATGTGTGGAGGCTAGACTACCTTCCTTTGCTGTAGCTATGCACTGGTGTTGTGTTCTCTGTTCGCTGTACAAGTACTACTCATAGAACAGTTGCATGTCATGGATCCGGCGCCTTTTGGACCGGACGCTGTTGGGAGACTTGAATATTCTGGATAACTGAAGCTACTTGACCCATATTTCTGTATAGGCTGACTTGTTTGTACATAAAGCAGTGTTCAACTTTATGATGTTCACTGTCAACCTTCACTTGAAGCGGGCTGTAAATATACGGTACAGTACTTTCGGGTGCCAAAGAACGGAGAGCTGAGGAACGAACAGGCTAGGATTTCACCAAGCACAGCATAACAATGTATACATGGTGACTCTCAACTGGGCATAGACTGTAGTACATGAAAATAAGAACGGCCTTGGCTAGGAGGCTGATCCCCAGTTTTTCAGCGCCCAACAGTGCCGACTGTCAGGTACCGACAAGCCGAATGATTGAGCGCCGGATAAGCGACACACAACTGTAACTGTATGATCATCTGTGTTCTTTGCTTGTATGTGATCATGGTCTCATTTTTGTGTATGGTTTGTTCAGCGTGGACAACCTGCGTGCCTTCGTCCAGAAGGTTGTCGATGGTGAGCTGGAGGCTTACCTGAAGTCTGAGGATGTACCGGAGACCCAGGGAGCCGTCAAGGTGTGTGCCTCTTCCAGTACTGCGTGCACGTACACACACACACACACACACACACACTCTCTCTCTCTCTCTCTCTCTCTCTTTTTCTCCTCTCTTTTTTCTGTGCGTGTGTGTGTGCTAGAAAGTATTGAAGGCAGTTGCAAGATCTTTTTTGTGACCTATTTTCACGGAAGGAGTTCGACAGATTTCGTTTTCTTTATTGCCTGCCAGTGCTGAGTACGCTCTCTTCATGCACATCCCTTTCTTTCCACCCATGCAGCCTGCTGTGTTTTCACTGTAGAGTACAGTAAGACTGGAGATATGTACTCTGCTCTTGTTGTTGCATTGACACTGTGGTGTTTTGTATTTGTATACTTGTTCCTGCCTCTACACGTTTCTGCTGTAGGTTGTTGTTGCAAAGAATTTTGATGAGCTGGTGAATGACGCGGAGAAGGATGTCCTGATTGAGTTCTATGCACCGTGGTGTGGCCACTGCAAGAGTCTTGAACCCAAGTACAAGGAGTTGGCAGAGCGTCTTGAGGACAGCGAGGGCTTGGTCATTGCCAAGATGGACGCCACTGCTAATGATGTGCCACCTACTTACAGTGTCTCTGGGTAAGCCATTCAGTAGTGTTTTTGCCATGCTATTCATTCCCAGAGAAATTGTGACCAGCCACTTTATGTTAGCTTTGCATGTGGAGCCCAAATGCTGCATGATGTGCACTTAGGAATATGGGGATTCTGAGTAGTAGTTCCAGCCCATCGGCCTTGTTAGGTGTCAGGTGTAAGTACCTCGTTTGCTCTTTCGTTTGTGGAATGGGTCAATTTCCTGGGGTCGTCGGCAAACAGTCGGTCCTTCAGCAGAATTTCTGCAGATGTTTGTGTCACAGGACAGTCATAAATTCAATACGTTGTACTGTCTCTACACATGTATGACCTGTCCGCGTCATGCGAATCCGAACGTGAATTTCGACTTGCTAAACCTCAGTGGTATAATGGCGTGAATAAAACAGTTATTATTGCTGTTCTGTATGCTCTGGTGGATATGTAGTCCCATTTACCTTCTCATGCATTGACATGTCCTGTAATGCTGATTTGTTATACTTGTGTTCAGTTGTGTGTTGTAGTAAAATTTATTATTAACTTGGTTTCTGCACGTGTTGCTTCTTGTTCTGTGTGTCCCTCAGATTCCCAACTATCTTCTTCAGAAAGGCTGGTGCCGGCGCTCCTGTCAAGTATGAGGGTGGTCGCGAGGTTTCTGACTTTGTCTCCTACCTGAAGAAGAACGCCCGTAACCCTGTTGTCGATGGACAGAAGAAGAGCAAGAAGTCGAAGAAGAGCAAGAAGGGCAAGGAGGAGCTGTAAATGCACACTGCTCCCTTACCCTTTCTTTCTTCTAGGATGGTGTAGTACCAGGTTTTTTTCATTCCTGCGCAGACGCCAGCAGCAATGCTCCTACATATAATACTCGTCCAGAGCTGCTGCTGTTGCTTCTGCTCTGATCAATGTTGAGTATTATTAGTGCAGCAGTGTTCAGTGTTTTATTTACTCAACACTGCTGCTGCTGCTGCTGCTGCTGTATTGCCTTTTCTCTAGCTGGTGTGATGGCAACTGCGCTTGCCACCAAGTGCTGCTGCTGCTGCCTACACTCACTCCTATTTGCTCCAGCTCTATCTTGGTTGACAACTCGTATTATACATCATTTGAGCTACTTTGCGCTGAGATTTGCGTTTGCTGTTTTTTTCCTACCTCTTGCATTTACTAAAACTATCTTCCTAACAACAGCCCAACATGTCCTGTGTTTGTGCAGTGCACAAATTGCATTTTGCATGGGAACCACGTTTTTTGGTTGCAGTAGTAGAGTTACCACCAGGTTACACTTCACGGAACATGGTTCTTCACCAAAGCTGAACCTGCATGACAATGTGATTTTCAGGGGGTGAACAGTACTCCAATATTCGATCAGAGTACTCAAACCTGGGGTGTCGCTGCAAACTTTTACCCCCAGTTATCAGCATGGATAAATTGTGCACACTCCGAGAGTACCGGCACTACTGACAACTGACAGTATGCACTCTTCACAGAAGTTGCAATGGCAGTCTAGTCGTGCGCCCAAGAACATTGTTTCCAAGGGGTTATGGGACGTTCTTAGAAACAATTCGTACGTATATAAAACAACCCAACAGTACGCTTGCACATGAAATATAAACCATCATACAAACCTCGGTTTGTATGTCGGTTTATATTTCACGTACAAGCGTACTAGTACATAGTGGGATGTATTATACCAAGAGTGCATAAACACATGGACTCTTGATTATACTTATGCTGACCGTCATACAAACTGACAGTCAACTTCTTCCTGTTTCTATGGTGGCGGTCTATATGGGGTTTGTATGAGGTTTATATGCCCAGTATAAGCCGCCAGCATGATGGGCAAGTTGACTGGAAGTTTGTATGAAAGGTCAGCATAATGTATCATATCTATCCCGAAAGCAGCCGGAAAACCAACATGGCCGTTCTTACGGTACTGACAACTAACAGCAAGAGTATGATTATACTCAGGCTGACAGTATACACTCTTCACAGTATACACTCTTCATAGAAGTTGGTACATACGCAGTCGAGTCGTGCGTCCAAGAACGTTGTTTCCAAGGGGATAGCCTGGGACCATCTTGTTTGTTTTTTCAGCAATCTGGCTGCGTTCGTATAGCACATTCTTGCGTGACGTATGATTTACTGCACGAGTACAAACGAGTACAAGGGCAATACCGGCTGATACATGACCGAACGGCGCCAGCCGTGAGGTCATGTATCAAGCCGGTATTGCCCGTGTACGAGTGCGTACGGGGCGCAGTAAATCATTTATTGCATGCTTGACCCAAACATTCCAGAAAATGGAGAGAAACCTTTCCGACTTTCTCAGTCTCCCGAGTCCCGACACACTTGTTCAGTGGTAAACGTCGTTTGTGGTTTTGAAATTCTCTATTTCTTTACGATATCGATGGTGTTGTTGTTCGTGATTGAGCACTGCGTGTAGGAACAGGAACTGAAAGTGGGATGGGCTCCACAACTTCGTCTCGAACGCATTCAGTTCGCAGGCGCGTGCTCGGCGATGGGCACGGGGGGCACGTGCACCCCCCAAAAATTTTCAATCTGGGTAATTGCAATTGTAATGTATGCAAATATGCTCTAAAATTCAAGAAAGGTTGCAAACAAACTGCAGAAAATTGCCGGGGGGGGGCTCCCCTCGGCTCCCGTGCACCCCCCCCCCCTAGTTGGGGGGCCGAGCACGCCCCTGGTTCGTCTAGTTCGTCGGCTGCTCATCAACGCATCGATATCGATGTCAAGGTTGCATTCACCTTCTCAGTTCTGAGGCGGCTGGTTCAGGTGGCTGGAACAAGTAAGTTATTGTCCGCTCAGTTACATGCGCGCGTGTGTGGTCTGTCATTCTCGTGCTTTGTAGTTTGTAGTCAGATCAAGTTGCTGTTTTGTGTTTCAAATTTGAAACTCCGAACAGTAGACACTTGATCTGATCACGAACCACAAAGTACAAGAATGACAGTCCGCATGCGCGCGTACATGTAACTGAGCGGGCAATAACTTACTTGCCGGGCAATACCGAGAAATACAGACCGCTGAGCAAGAGCGCTCATTGGCTGTAGTACAGGCAACCCTCACGTGACATGCAATAATCTACCGTATGCCATGCGCCAGGATTAACAACGCTGCTAGAGAGGACAAGAAAACTGAATTATTCCAATTTACCGTAGGCGCTCAGATGGCGAAAATGATACATTGATTTTGCGCAGCTGATGATACATAATTCCGTAATCCCACCTGCATCAAGTTCAACAGTGTCTGAGGAGAGCTACATTTTGGAGGATCAGGACTATTTTTCAAAGCACAAGTCGATCTTTTAAGTGCATCACTGGTAGATGGAGAAAAGTAGATTCGTTCGTTTGTTGAATTGGTGTGTGAGCGAATAATTGTTCGGGGAAATCACAGTTACATTAGAGAGGTTCCGCACTACGTAAAAGTGAGCAACTTTAGGTTAGTGGGTGGGAAAAACCCGTGAATTTGCGAGTTTGCACTCCACTTACGGAAAGTTGTCTACGTAGAGTACGTAGATAGGGCTCTGATAACGTAGCTGATCCGTAAGTGGATTGGGGTACAAATTTATGACTCTCTCCCCAGGTCGATCTGGTCGTACACTGCCGCGTTGGGAGTTGCCAAGGGCAGCTACGTGATTTGAAAACTCCGTATGGCGGAACACAGATGCGCATGCAGTTTACGTAAGACTTTCCGTAGATCGACTACGTGTTTTACTAACGTAATTACGTTATGCGGAACCTCTCTATTGTTACCCCACTACTGATCAGTAGTGATTACAGTATTTTGGAACTATTGCCCAATGTGCACACTATGCACACCATGTTAGTTCCGTGTATGCACCACAGCACATGCAACAAACAGCAGTCTCCTCACAGGCAGCCATGGCAGTACTGGTATCGCTGCTATCCAATCCACACAGTCATGAAACATGTAATCATGATGTGGAAAGCAGTACGTGAGGAGTGTGAAGCATGTACAATCGTGTTTAGCAGTGCCTTCAGTGCGTCGGCAGAGTAGAAGCAAGGCCTTCCAACACCCTGCCAGCACACAGCACACAGCACACTGCTGAACAGCCTACTGGCAGCATAAATAGTCAGTACGCGTGGTGGCTATATCTGCATGACAGACCCAAGGTTGATGCAAGACCAACAGGGCATAGTGTGGTGACACACTGGTCAGGAATACAATGCTACTGTTCTTACTGTTCTTGTACAGTGCAGCACTGCACAAACAACAGCAGCAGCAGCAGTAACCGTAGCTAGCGTTGCCTTGTGCCTAGTGCTGAACTGTACTGTATCATACTGATAACAGCCAGTGCACAGCCATAGCCCAGCTAGCACACGTTGCTGCACGGGTATCAGCAGAGACACTGACTTGTCATACCTTGATAGACCTTGCCATGAATGAATCCTTGCAGTAGTACAATGGCAGCATGTCAGTGTCACACAGCACCGTGTCAGGTGCCATATCCACTCTCAGAGAACTGCATACGGATACGAGTCATACTCATAGTGCAGGCATGGTACTCAGCGAGATGGTCAAGTCCACCACCAGTTGATGATCACTCAGAGAGCCGGGCCAGACCGCACTGGGATGCACTGGAGTAACATGTAGCTGTGCTGTGCTGGTGAGCAATGTCCCGCACATCTTGTTTGTCTCATAGTGGACAGTAGCACATCCTAAGCATGGCCTAAGGCAGCAGAAGAAAGGGACCAATAGCCCATCAGCACCAAGCCACACACTGCTTCACGTTTGCAACAGGAATACTAGTGCAGTATTATTATTATGCCAACGCAGAAACACCGGTCTTATCTATGACAAACATTGACAATACAGCAGCACATGGCTGTCCAGGTGCGTCGCCGAAACTGCCTGTGAGGGGGTTTCAGATAAGGGTCCAGGGTAGTCCAACGGCGGAGTTGAGGTGGGTAGAGCCCTCTTGCGGCAGTTGCCAACAGTTTTAATGTGTATCTTTAAAATCCAAATTCCAAGCTTCTGAGAGGCCCAATCTGGGATGTAACATTACCACGTAACATGCAAGAGAACTTTTAAAGAAGAAAAATGCAACCATGTGACGTCCTGGATATGAATACTTGTCCCTTCCGGTGATTGCATGCCACAATCGCGAGCGTGTCTGAGCGCAATTCAGCCCCTCGCGCTACACACTGGAGGAGGTTTCCCGGCAAACTGGAAACACTGACGGCTACACACCTGACTGTCTATTATTCCAGAAGAGAAGACTGTGCTATGCAAACATACATCTTACAACTGTACTTTGAAGTACGTAGTGCAGCAGTAGTGTGGTAGTAGTGTGGTAGTAGAGTGGTAGTAGTGTGGCAGTAGTGTGGCAGAGGGTGTGCACAAAGTAAAGCAAGTAGCCGCATATACAGTGGTAGTAACACATGAGCACACCGATTATTGTGCCAACAACAACAACAACAACAACAACAACAACAACAACAACACACACCTTCTCATTGCACCATAGAGGTGCCCCTTCTCACATCTTCCCAGATGCCTGCATCTGTCTCTTCATGGCCTCTTCATCCATATACATTGAGGTTAGCTTCTTGCCAATGCTCTCATGGATTTCTAAGTACTTTGCCACGCAGCGATCAAGACACACCGCCTCTCCCTTTGTGATGTCTCCTTCTCTGTACTTGGCTGGGATGCACTTGGTATGACATGCTTGTGTAAGCCTGAACAGATAGAGAGACACAGACAGACAGATACACATATACAGGCAGACACACAGACACACAGACACACAGACAGACACACAGACAGACACACAGACAGACACACAGACAGACACACAGACGGACAGACACACGCACACATGGTGTGACTGTACAGATCTCACACAGCTACAAGTAAAACATTTCAAATAATGGCTCTACCGATATATCTGGCTTGGCTGCTGGTGCCCTGCCCCTGCCCCCCCCCCCCCCCCCCCCATCCACACACACACACACACACACACCGCCAACAATCATGAACAGTGATTGGGCTCCTCAGCTTAGCCAAATCGATCATAACAGAATATCTGTGCATGTAGCTGTGGAAATAGAAAAGTATTTTCACTGGGCTCCACAAGTGCTAGAAGCATGAAGGCTATTCAGACATTCAGAATCATAGAAAAAGAGAATTCGCCGGGTGCCTACGGCAAGTATCGACGGCAAGAGTACATAACCCCCACTCTTGCCGACGGGCATGCTGACGATATGCTGACACTCTCTGCAGGCTCTGCATGACTGGTGGATGATCCTGTCAGGCAACTCCTGATACCGGTATGTGCGATGGATGAAGCTGGCCAACCTACCCACCTCCAACATCGGTCAGATGCTTTAGTAATAACTCAGGGGCGTCGGAAGGTAATTTAGTGTGGTACGGTCAGCCATCTAAAGTACAATTTATGCGTGAGGGAGGGGTGGCTGAGCCGAAAATTTGGAAATTTAGAGCCCACGTAAGTGCATTTTGTTGATTCACGGGGTACTTGGGGCAAATAGTGGTATGGTCAATACCATCGTGACTGTAGCGTGTCCAACGCCCCTGAATGTACACCTGCAATGACTATGTGCATGAGCACAGTTTGCCCAATCCTGATCATCCACACATGTACAGTTTAAAGAGTTGGTGGACAAGCCGTTGATTATTCACTCTCATTGTAATATCAAAAGGTATTCTTTCTAGACCAAAGAGTGGTATATTTGATAACATTTAATAACGATAGAAATTTTTTACGATACTTCTCCAGACGTTTCGTTGTTCTGAACAACATCGTCAGTGGATAAAGAATGGAGGGCTTTGGGTGGTGGCACGGGTTAATAGGGAGTGATGGTGGTGAGATGAGGTGAGGTGAGAAGGTGAAGGTGGGAAATACATGTATCTAAGTTAATGGTGAAGGTTAGGTGCGGGTCGATACAGGTGGGAAGGGGTACACCCTTCGGGTAGAAGTGTAGGTTGGTAGAAGGTGTTGGTGTGCGTAGAAGGTGGAGTGGTGTAACGGAAGTGTCGGGTTGTTAAATGTGGGAGAGAGTCTGGGTAGGGTGTGGATCAGCAATAGGTGTTCGTGTATGTGGTGGGTAGAATTGGCAAGAGGTGTGTGTGTGTGTGTGTGTGTGTGTGTGTGTGCGTGCGAAAAAGAGTAAGGTAGTGAGTATTGGTATGCGTGGAAGGAAGATGTGACAGAAGGTGTGCGCTATAGGCAAGGGGTGCAGGAATATTCTGAGGTGGTGGGTGGGACTAAAACAGGAGGTTGTGATTCATCTAGTGATATATATAATATCAGCGATAGCAGCAGTATATACAAAGAGGTGTGTGTGTGTGTGTGTGTGTATGCGTGTGCGTTTGCAAGCTTTTTGGTAGTGTAGTGTGTTTGGGGGGGGGGGGGGGGGGGGGAGAGAGCACCGGGTGCGGGTGTTCTTCTTCTATTGCGATCATTTTCGGATGGGTTGGCAGATAGTGGATGGTGGTAGGCAAGTTATGCCAAGAATCCAGTTCCCATATCTTCTTTTCTTCTGTTGATAGTTGGTTTCTTGTCGCGAATGGCATATGCCTCACGGATCCGGAGCCTCAGCTCATCCCTCTCCGTGAGCTGAGCAATCTCGTACATAATCTCTGGGGTGGCGTTCGGGTGTTCCCTGGCGTAGTGCACACCGAATGCAGACTTCTTGTCATGAGATTTTGCAGCATTTGTGTGCTCTTGGGCCCGGGTGTGCACTTGCCTCCCAGTCGAGCCGACGTATCTCTCGTGACAAAGGTGGCATGTAGCTTCGTACACGGCAAATCTGCAGGTGCACTTCTTCCTGAACATAGGGCATTCGCGCATTCTGCATTTTTCCGGTTCTCCTTTTTTCTTCGTGAGTTCTTGGATGGTTGGGGGTCGAGGGTTAACGAGGCGTGCCGTTATGCCGTTTTTCTTAAGTGCCTGTCGTACTTGGCCGTTAACCTTGTCGGAGATGTACGGTATTCTAAATACCAGTTGTTTCCCTTTTGTTTGTTTACTTGTGTTTCTTCTTCGGGCTCGCGCTTTGATGATGTGTTCTGCGGAATAGCCGTTCCCTGCAAGTTTATCTGAGATGAGGCGTCTGGCTTCCTCCGCAAACTCAGGCGTGCTGTTGTCTTGTGCTCGTTTGTATTCATTGTTAATGACCGCCATCTTAACCGCCGTTGGATGGTGGGAATCTGCGTGTAGTGTTATCCCTTTGTTTGCTTCTTTTACGTAGAGCTTGTGTGTGACTTTGCCGTCAGGAAGAATCTTTAGTCTGATATCCAGGATTGGTAGGAAACCATCTTTGTCCGGCAACTCCAGTTCAAACTTGATTGTCGGATGTTTTCCGTTGAGTTTGGTCAGTAGAGATTGTGCTTCCGCAGGAGTGTCAACTGCGGTTCCCGAGTCGTCTACATAGCGGACGAACACTGGCAATGGCGGCGAGATGTTTCTGTAAATGTGGCGCTGTTCAAAGCGGTCCATGACGATGATAGCTATTGTGCCGCTGAGTCTGCTGCCCATCGCCAATCCCCTTGTCTGTTTGAATGTTCCAAGGGTTGGGTGTTGGAACACGTTGTTATATAGAATCAGCCCGAGTAGCTCTTTTAGGTCGACCGGTGTGAGGGAGTAGGTATTGATTTTGAAGTGGTTCGCGTATTCGAGGACGGTGCTGATTCCTTCTTCAATGCCAATGTTTGTGTACAGCGAGATCACGTCGAATGAGATGGGGATTTTCTTCTTCAGTTTGTTTTCGTTGCTCGTAAATTGGGCTATTAGGTCCCGCGTGCTGCTAATGTGGGCGCTCACGTTAAGCAGCAATGGCTTGAAGATGAAATGGAGGATCCAACCGAGTCTTTCGAAAATGCCGCCTGATCCCGAGACGATTGGGCGAATCTTGAGAGATTTCTTGTGTGTTTTCGGCAGTGCGTAGAACCGTTGCGTTCTTGCGCAGGGTGGCGTATTGAGTCGTCTGATGATGATCTTGGGGAAATCTCTGCTTCTGAGAATTTTCTCTAGAGCTTTGTTGATGGTGAGGCGCAGTGTCGGTGTTGGATCTTTCTGAAGCTTGCAATATGTTGTTGAGTCGGCGAGGTGCTCCCTGCACAGTTCCTGCATGTCCTCCGCCTTCATGATCACCATCTCGCCTCCTTTATCACTTCGAGTGACCACGATGTCCTCACGTTCTCGTAGTTCTTTAAGCGCATGCCGGTCTGCGTGGGAGATGTTGGGTTTAGGATTCTGCCATTTCCCCGCCGTTCTCATAATGCGCTCCATGTCCGTGATGAAACCTTTGATGGATCGCTCGGCTGGGTCTATGTCCCGTGGCGGTGCTTTTCTCCTGATCTTGAACGGACATTCTGATTTGATAGGGTCGAAGGTTCCACCAATACCGGTTCCGGTTCTCTCCCCAGCGGCTTTCCATCGAATGCCGTATGCGAGTACAGCGATCTCCGTCTGTAACTTCTGTTGCAGTCCTTTCTTGGTGAATTTCGGTGTGATGGCGAATTTTGGGCCTTTTGCTAGAAGCGACACTGCCTGTTCGGATACACTGATATCTCCCAGTATACTGACTCTCTGTGTTAGGTTCCTGTGTCTCTCAGTGACGTTGTCTGGCATCGAGGTCTGAGGGCTGTTCGGCACGCAGCCGGGTCCCAGTAGTAGTGTACCGTCTGGTTGTTCTCGGGATTCTGTTAGTCTCTTGAATTTCTGCTTCAAGGATGATTTCCATTTTGTCTTGCTGGCATGGGCTGCTGCGTTGACCAGATCATTTAGTCGCTGGTATTGGTCGCTTCTCCGGTGCATGGATGCCTGCAGCTTGTTGGCCTTGGATTTCGAGGCGTGGATGGCATGGTATTCCGCGCGTATGAGTTGTCCGAGTATTCGTCTTTCGGTTTTGCGTTGATATCGTTGTGTATAAGCCAGGTTCTTGATGGCTGTTGGGAAGCGGATTGGGTTGTGTAACGCGGGTGGACATATACCAGCGTTTCTGCAGCGCCGAAGAAAGATCACATGTACAGTTTGCCCAATCCTGATCATCCACACATGTACAGTTTGCCCAATCCTGATCATCCACACATGTACAGTTTGCCCAATCCTGATCATCCACACATGTACAGTTTACCCAATCCTGATCATCCACACATGTACAGTTTGCCCAATCCTGATCATCCACACATGTACAGTTTGCCCAATCCTGATCATCCACACATGTACAGTTTGCCCAATCCTGATCATCCACACATGTACAGTTTGCCCAATCCTGATCATCCACACATGTACAGTTTACCCAATCCTGATCATCCACACATGTACAGTTTGCCCAATCCTGATCATCCACACATGTACAGTTTACCCAATCCTGATCATCCACATATGTACAGTTTGCCCAATCCTGATCATCCACACATGTACAGTTTGCCCAATCCTGATCATCCACACATGTACAGTTTGCCCAATCCTGATCATCCACATATTATGTACAGTTTAACCAATCCTGATCATCCACATATGTACAGTTTGCCCAATCCTGATCATCCACACATGTACAGTTTGCCCAATCCTGATCATCCACACATGTACAGTTTACCCAATCCTGATCATCCACACATGTACAGTTTACCCAATCCTGATCATCCACACATGTACAGTTTGCCCAATCCTGATCATCCACATATGTACGGTTTGCCCAATCCTGATCATCCACACATGTACAGTTTGCCCAATCCTGATCATCCACATATGTACAGTTTGCCCAATCCTGATCATCCACACATGTACAAGTACAGTTTACCCAATCCTGATCATCCACACATGTACAGTTTGCCCAATCCTGATCATCTCAGTTTACCCAATCCTGATCATCCACACATGTACAGTTTGCCCAATCCTAATCATCCACATATGTACAGTTTGCCCAATCCTGATCATCCACACATGTACAGTTTGCCCAATCCTGATCATCCACACATGTACAGTTTGCCCAATCCTGATCATCCACACATGTACAGTTTACCCAATCCTGATCATCCACACATGTACAGTTTACCCAATCCTAATCATCCACACATGTACAGTTTGCCCAATCCTGATCATCCACACATGTACAGTTTGCCCAATCCTGATCATCCACACATGTACAGTTTGCCCAATCCTGATCATCCACACATGTACAGTTTACCCAATCCTGATCATCCACACATGTACAGTTTGCCCAATCCTAATCATCCACACATGTACAGTTTGCCCAATCCTGATCATCCACACATGTACAGTTTACCCAATCCTGATCATCCACACATGTACAGTTTGCCCAATCCTAATCATCCACATATGTACAGTTTGCCCAATCCTGATCATCCACACATGTACAGTTTACCCAATCCTGATCATCCACACATGTACAGTTTACCCAATCCTAATCATCCACACATGTACAGTTTGCCCAATCCTGATCATCCACACATGTACAGTTTGCCCAATCCTGATCATCCACACATGTACAGTTTGCCCAATCCTGATCATCCACACATGTACAGTTTACCCAATCCTGATCATCCACACATGTACAGTTTGCCCAATCCTAATCATCCACACATGTACAGTTTGCCCAATCCTGATCATCCACACATGTACAGTTTACCCAATCCTGATCATCCACACATGTAGAGACAGTCCTGCTCAATGAAATCCGATTGTGTGAGTCCAGTACGCACCCGGCGTGCTATTGACTCGGACCGGATTTCATTGAACAGCACATCAGCACAACATGGAGTACAGTCAGACCTCGCATAACCGCACACATCCGTTTTCCACAAATATATCCGGATAGTCGAGGGAACCGGATAATCGAACACACATACTGTATGTATGCATGACATATGCTGTAAATCGGTAACCAGCGATTTTCTTCCAGATGGCGAGGGATCCGGATAAAAGAGGACCGGATAAGCGAGGTCTGACTGTATGTTAAGATACCAGTATCCAACCTAGGCTGCGTTCGTTTTTGTCTACTACTTGATAGTGTAGAGTAGAGTAGTGTAGAGTAGAGTAGAGTAGAGTAGAGCGGATGTTGGAAAAAGAAAAAGGCTGTAAATGGTAGTTTATGAATACAGATCTACCCATTTCGGTAGAACGGTAATTTTTAAAAGTACAGTGTAGGATATTTTGTGGAAAGCAGCTCTCGTGTCCGCACAAGTACAGAAACAATGTAGCTCTCGTGTCCGCACAAGTACAGAAATAATGTAGCTCTCGTGTCCGCACAAGTACAGAAATAATGTAGCTCTACCAGTTCTAGCGACTTCTACCAGCCTCAATATTTATTTTCGGCTATTTTCGGCCTGGACAGTTTTGACCGAATATTTCTTGCGGCTAAAATTTTGTTTTCCAAGGTTTAGTGGGACAGTGTGAAAAGACAGCAGCAGCAAAGTGGAAATTTAAATACTAGTACGGCCAAAATGTGTTTTAGCCCTGGGAAGCCGACATGTAAACGCGCCGAAAATTTGTAGACTTACAGAAGCGATTGTTTCTCTTGTTCTTTCAGTGATCATGGTGATGTAATCCAACTAACGAACATCACAAGAAAACGTTCTTGGATAATTTTTAAGGTACCCAAGAACATGAAATCCTTCCTTTACTATTGAGTGTGCACGTGTGTGTGTGTGTGTGTGTGTGTGTGTGTGTGTGTGTGTGTGTGTGTACGTGTGTGTGTGTATGTGTGTATCAGCGATGACTCACAAATCATTCGTTCATAGCATTATTTAAAGTATTATCTCCACATCGAATATTCGTCTACCGGTACTTTTAATTGTGTACTTTAGAGAAAATGTGAACAAACTATCACATTTTCTTTTTGTGGGTTACACATGCTCAGAAAAACAAGAACAAAACCATTGAAACAAACACGTTGATATTGAAACATGCATGCCGGACTGGTGGAAACCATTACTAGACGTGCTATTATATAAATGAAACACGAAAAAATAGTACATGGCTAGACTCGTTCATTTCAATGGCTTTCATATTACCTGCTGTACATATCAGTCATAACTTCCACCTCTAAGTCAGCCACTTGCCGTTGCTGATTGGCATCCATTGCGACAGAACAGGAGCAACTTCCACAATGCTGAAATTTAAATCAATGTACATTACTGGTATTGCGTTCTCAAACTCAAACAGCAAACTCTCAACGCAAAACATCTTGGATTTTCATTGAGCAGATCAGAGGGATCCCCCCCCCCCCGGGCTCCAGGCCGAGCGTAGTCCCCCCCCCCCCCGCCCCCCTCCCCCGTCTACTACAAAGGCCCGGCAAGCTATGTCCAAATAAATACTATAAATTAATAAATTGTTGCAAGTGGAAGTGCCCGTTGTGTCAAAAATGGGAATGATCCCACTTTGGAAAGTGTCTTGTCCTACTTTCAGAAGAGAGAGTGTTCTCAAATAATTGGTGTGTCATCATGGTCATTGTTTAGCAAAATTGTAAAAATTTACAATTTTGTTAAACAATGACCATGAGTTGGGAATGCAATGAATTGAAAATGACCATGATGACACACCATCACAAACTATAATTTTTTGTAGTATTGGATATTCGGCCATCAATGCAATGTTCTGTGATCGCAGTGACCAGTGCAGTGGTGACTGCATTGTATGCTACGAAAGCAGTGTTTTTGAATTAATTGTAACTAGTGGCTGTGTCATACGGTGGCATAGCATCGCAATGTTTTCGTTCTCAAAGAGTGTATTCCGTGACCTACTGTTCTTCATTATTGTCTTTAGTGATGGCAAG